ATTTTTTCTGTGATTTTGGCTTCTCGGAGCACATCCCTGGTCGGGATAAGACGCAGCGAAAAAATTACGGACAATGAATGATCACTTCAAACAAACGAAAATTTCAACGATGAACCATTTCCTGATCAAAAGAACCTGATCAACAAAAGTTGAAAAAAAAAATCTTGCGTCCTACAAAGTTCAAGGATCCCCAATATTACATGACATCTCCGCAGAAACAACACGATACAAATACAGCATTATAAACATAATTATAAATTATATTATAGCATACATTAATATTATAATTATTATAAATATAAATTTTGCCATGAACTTGAAGCACTGATAAATTAATAGGCCGCTCTATCGAAAAGGTTGAACACTACCGCAGTGATTGCAGCGAAATAAATGTTCACTGTCTCAGGTTATTATCGTCTTCATTTACCCATTTACACTCTGATCATTCCTCTGAGTTCAGTGGGAGAAAAACGAGTGGGTATTAGACAAAAAGAAAGTTTAGGGACAATAATCTCAATTTTTTAATCATTTTTGAAACGGCAAACTCTTCAGCCCATTGTGGTTATGTTTCGTTATCAAAATCGAAGAAGCATTTCTCTTTTTCTTGTGTACCACAATCGAAACATACATTTCTGGTTTGGATACGGCAACTACTGTACCTAACAATACAGAAAAATCTGACAACCAATACAGTTACAACACTTTTTTTCAGCAGGACACAGTTCGTTCCAAGTCACAGCAGCTATATGCTGTGAAAATCTCATTACAACAAACTCTCCCGATTACAGTGCAACGGTATTTTTTAAGGAACATGTTGTGATTTTCTTCATGAAAAATCCCCAGTGAAGGCAGTCATAGTCACAAATTTACCAGTCAAAATGTGACTGTGACTGGTTCTTGGGACATGAATGGGAGGTAGAATCAAGGATACAAATTCTTCAATATTAACCTGAACATCCAAACACCAAACACTTTCCGAACACTTTCAAAAATGTTTTGTGGATTATTAGCAATGGGGGGGGGGGGGGAGATAAAAAATTAAACCAGCAAAACTCAAGGCTCACTCAGGGTTTCCAGAGTCTTGTGGATGCTTATGGAGTGGCTGACTATAAAGAAATGAACCCAGGTTAGTATATACAGCAGTATTTCAGTAAAAACTATTAGCAACTAATACCATTAAAACCCATTTTTCAGTGCAGCAAACTTTTTTCCAAGTTTTGGCATAAACTCTATCATATAGGGTACATGTTACAAGCATATATTGTTACAACAAACTCTCCAATTCCATTATTATACAAACTAATTTTCCTGATTAAAAATCCCCAATGGAGGCAGACACAGACTCAAATTTATCATTCAAAATGTGACTCACTTATGGTTTTTGGGAAATAAAAGGATGGTGGAATTAAGAACAAGAATCTTTTAAAATTCACCTGGAAATTGTCTCTTTCAGAACATTTTCCATGTTCAGGTAATATGGGGGGGGGGGGGGGGGGATTTGGATGCTTGAGAAACCCTACTGATGCTTTGAAAATGTAAGCTTTTTTGGCACATCACCTCTTACAAATCTGTACAGGAAAGGGTTAGGAAAACTAGAAGTCCAAAAAAAACTGCTCACGTTCATCTGTTATTTGGAGTAAATGTTTGTTATTGACATTTGAATCTCTTTTTGAAGATCACAATTTTTCAAACATGGAAAAAAAATTGAAAAGGCATCAAAAGGAAGATTTTGATTACTTGAATCCAATCTTCCCAGTCAATAATTTTGAAAATCTTGCTATAACAGATTAGTTTGCTATTTAAAAAAAGGTTTTCTGAAGTCCCCGCAAGTTTGTTGTAACAAGATTTTACTGTAATGCAGTGAGAACCCAAGATTCAGACATAATTGGTACATCAAGAGTTCCCCGAAGTCAAGTCTCATTTTCCCTCAGACTTACATTATAGAATTTTCAATTGGTGGTTTACGGACAAAATACTCCCCGTAATTCCATGAAAATAAAAATTGTCTCCCAATTTAAACTCATTCAATCAATATATTTCAATACAATATAGACATTTGGGGAATTGAAAAATGATACCTCTGTACAGTACATAGAAATGTTGGCATTCTCTGTAAAAGTAACATTCAAGTGAAAAAGAGAGAAGGAAGCCCCTCTATACTGGAGGTAATTTTTTTTAACTAGCTAAATGGATGGTAAATTGGTGAGAGAATCAGAGAAATGCCCAAGAACTTTGCTTACATCAATTTTAGGGTTGGAAGTACTGTATCTGTTTCTTTTAATTTGGCCTGAAACTTCTTCGAAATTTTATCCCTAAATGTCGCTATGTCCAGTCAGTGTCCTCATGTTGGGCCTATCTTATTAATTTTTTAATGGGAAAATAAGCATCCCTATGTCGAATTGTCTGCATGTCGAGGTGTCCGCATGTGGGGGGGGGGGGGGGGGGGGNGGGGGGGGGGGGGGGGGGGGGGGGGGGTCTCACTGCATATGACACTTCTTTTTTTTTACAGGAAGAACAGAAGAAAGTCCTACGCATTCCCATCCGTGAAAGAAAAAAATTTCCTACGGCCTGTCGCTCAGATTCAGAAGAATCCAAAGCCGCGGAAACTTCGCGGAATCATAGAAACGATACAGATCACAATCGTGCGGATGCACTATTAGTCTCGAGAAGAAACAAATACCGCACGAGTAATGATGGCAGTGTTGCGTCTCGCTGTTTATGAACACAACAGATGAAATTGGACTCCTGCCCACATTTGGATGGATGCCAACACTGGGTCCTCACGAGACCTCCCCCCCAACAGTTCCATCACCCCAACGACGGTCACATGGTTGCCTCAGTATTTTACTACGCCGGGTTCAAAGCCCGCAACACTTGACGTTTACTCAGGAAATCCTGAGGCACTTGGAAAGTATTTGGAAAAAAAAAACATAAAAGGTGGGTGAACTTTCCGAAGCCGTAGGTTCCCATGTTGAAAAAAAGAGGACCTCTATGTATCTGATTCTCAATTTACTGAGATGCTACAAGAAATCAGAAATAATGCTCATGCTTCCAGCAGCGTACGCAGCTCGGAGCAATTTCATCAAATGCGTGGTCCCGACCTGCGGACGATTCGACTTCGAAACACTAGACAACTTTAAAAATCTGCTTCAACACCAGGAAACGGTTTCGAGATACGCATACTTTTCCAAAATCCCTAGACAAACAAAAAGAGTGTCTTTTTAAAAAATTTCACATGTCTTGAACAAATTGCGTTTACTCTATTCACAAAAAAAAAAAAAAAAATTCTGGAGAAATTCACAATAATTTATAATCCAGAAAAAGATAATTTTTTCCTCGCGTTTCAGAGTCATTTCCAAAATATGTACGCAGTATAAGGATACCTGTGCTTTATGGGCTCTTTTTCACGCCAAAAGATCAGATTGTGCGTGGTTTTCTTCTGAATTAATATATTCTGCATTTCAAGTTGAGAAAAATTATTTTGTTCCATCGTTGGGGCCTTTTTCCAAATTTTGACCCACAGAAAAACGATTAAATCCATTAGATTTAGGGACACTTCAAATTGAAAAATTCTTGAACGCCATCCGGAGAGGGTCTCCGATGCTTGACCAAAATTTAAAGGAAAATGAAACACTTTCAAAATTTCGATATTTCTCATTCAGTGCTTTTCTTTTTCGAGTCTTTTCCATCGACTGTCACAGTGCAGTATGATGAGTGCGTATTTTCTTCATTTTTAAAACCGTTTTAATGCAAACAGGCCAGATCCTGGGCGGCTTTCTTCAACACAATTATTGCCTGTAACTTGAAGTTAAGAAAAACATTTCGCTAAAATTTCGGGGAAAATTTCGAATCACTTGCCAAAAAATCCAAATCTCGGGATCCCACTGTAAAACAATGTATATAAGCATCACTCTTTTCATGGTTCAAGAGAAAAAGTTCCGTGGAGTACATGGTAGTAAACCATTTGGCTCATAATAATTTGGAACTAACCTTCAGTAACTCTTCACACAAAGACCTGACTTACAAATAACACCAACAGTGTTCCAAAGTGAAAAAATCCCAATACAGTGAGACCCCAAGATGCGGACGTAATTGGTGCATCCAGAGTATCTACAGGTCAAAATGCTCCTCAGTTGAGTCTTGCTTTCCCATAGACTTACATTAATTTTTATTTTGTGTTTTATGGAAGAAATATTCTTCAGAATTCCATGAAAAAAAAGTTTTAGCCACTTGAATTTGATTCAGTAAATATATTTTCAACTCAAAAAGAACATTTGGAGCATTGAAATGTTGGCATCTGTAAAAATAACATTTGTCACAGAGATAAGGAAGTCCCTCTATCCTTCAAGTAATTTTTTTTAATTGGCTGAATGGATGGGAAAATGATGGGAGAAATACCAAAGAATTTTTTTTGCATACATCTCAGGTTTGGAAATATCAGTTTGTTGCAATTAAGCCTAATAAAAGACAATTTTCCTAAAATTTATTGGCACCATGTCGGCATGTTGAGTCAGTGTCCATATGTCGGGCCTTTTTTAGGCCTTTTCTATTGAAAAATTAATGTCCCTATGTCGAATTGTCTGCATGTTTAGGTGTTGGCATGTGGGGGTCTCACTGTATTTAAACTTGATCAAGTTTTGTAAAACAGAACCCTTTTTTCTTCGGCTGGAGAAGTAGAAAAAGCGCGGCCTTGAAGTTGACATTCATCAATCCACACGCGAAAGTGCGTCCCGACCGCTTCCAAAGACAATGACTTTTGTTCCCTGCTTTCCGCACACAAAGCACCGAACCCAGACTCTCATTCGAGTCTGAATGCACAAAGCATGCCACACAGATGACCAAGTCTCATCCGGCGCGTCAACCTCACCATTACCGCAAGCATCAACCACACAGGTCAAGTACTGCATTGTAGAGTACAGTACTGTACAGTAAAGCACTGGCCACGCTGAAAGTTTCATTCGCGCCGCGGCGAAACAAAGAAGAAACCAAAATAGAAGCACTCACGGTTCGCAAGATACGTTCTCGGCGACTGTCGTGAACCACAGGGCTTCTCGGGAACCAATGAGTGGTAGATCTTCGCAAATGAGTTGACTGCAATCTTCTCCGCTCAGGTGTAGATCCAGGGAATCAGTCTCCATCGGACTTCCGTTGCTGGATAGAGAATCCGACCAGGTAGTGTCTTTTTTGACGCATAATGACGAGGAAGTGAGTGAGGCTGCGTCACTCGGAACGTCGCTAGGACTCTGTCAGGAAAATAACGGGAAATTTTCAATATGGTGAGACCCACATGCGAACACCTTGACATGGGGACAATTCAACATGGGGACATTTATTTTTATTTATTTTTTTTTTACCATGTTTTTTTTATGAACTCACTTTCTTGTCTGTCTGTTTGTCCGGATCAAATTTTGAAACTCGAATTTCACTCACTTCCAGACTAGCTAGCAAGCTGAAACTTTCAGGATAGCCTAGAAACTGATGACAATGCAATCTTTTGTGAAAAAATAAATTTTAAGAATATTTTTTAAAAAGAATAAAATAATTATAGTAGATTAAAAAATTAATCTAAAAAACCACGTTTTCAAAAAGCAAAAAATAACCTTAAACGTGGTGCGCATGGAGATTGTTGGGAAGAAGTGAAATACAAATGAAATAGATGCGCACCACGTTTAAGGTTATTTTTTGCTTTTTGAAAACGTGGTTTTTTAGATTAATTTTTTAATCTACTATAATTATTCCACGAAAAAATCATTAACCCTTGAGCGGCGAAGTTGGACTATTTTTGCAAAATTTTGTTGCACCTCAGAGAGGCAAAGAAAAAAATGTCAACAGGGGGTTAAGGGCAAAGTCTTTTTTTCCCTGGGCACAGAAAATGCTTGCAGGAAAATTTTAAAAAATGTACAGTTAGGCTACCGGCTTTTTACTTATTTATCCCAACTTTGCCTCAGCCCACCTGGAAGGGGTTTCCTGACCTTGGAAAATCTGAAAATGTGGGAGGATACAAAAATAATCCAACTCTGTCTGCTATGGGAAAGAACCCTTGGCCATCCAAGGGCTAAAACAGACCCAACATACAGACACTGACTCATCCTGAGGAAATTGCATGATAAAATTTCCAATAAATTTTAGGAAAATTAACCTTCATTTAAGCTTAATTGCAAGAAACAGATATTTCCAAAATTAAGATCTATACAAGAAAAGATTCTTTGGTACTTTTCCCATCACTTTCCCATCCATCCAGCTAATTACAAAAAAATTACTTATAGCACACAGAGACTTCCTTCTCTCTTTGTGACTTGGATGCTATTTTTACAGATGCCAACATTTCAATGGACTGTACAGCGGTATACTATTCAATGCTCCAAATGTTCTTATTGGGTTGAAAAGACATTCACTGAATCAAATTCAAGTGTCAAACAAATTTTTTTTCATGGAATTCTGAAGAATATTGCTTCCATAAAAACACCAATTAAAAATTATAGAATGTAAGTCTATGGGAAAACAAGACTTGACTTAGGGACACTCTTGATGCACCAATTATGTCCGCATCTGGGGGTCTCACGGTAAATATACTTTTGTTAAAATGAGATTTTGGTTCTAGAAGAAAAGGCACTGTTTGACCCGCAGATATTTGTATCAACTACGATTTTCCGACTTGAGTGTCCAGTTTTCTTTCAAATTGGCATAGCATTGAAAATAATTTTTATCAACCATGATTCATGTACAATACACACCCGCGTCTATCATAAATTCTAAAATAAAGAACGGCTCTTTCTTCAACATAGTACACGTCACAAGACATCTGTACTGCATTACAACATGCAACATAAGTGGTGGAACAATCAATCGTCGTATACCCTCTGACCTCCTGGAATATTCTCGGTTTCTATTCCTTCCTCAGGCTCAAATCGAAATGAGAAAAACATTCAGGTCCAAATGACACGGAAACGTCACACATATTACTTTCTCAGTGCCCAACCTTACACCAAAAATGTGTCAAACTGACTTAGAATCTATCCTTAACATGTTTTGTTCCGAGGATTCCACAAAAATTCAGGGATCTTCTTCAATTGCAACCTCAACTTTTCTGGGCACATTCCCAGAAAATCGGGTTCAAATTTCGAAATGTGAAAGGTTACTCGAACGAAGCCAGAATTAATTTCTCATCAGTTTTCTGTGTTTGAACCACTTGATAGGATTGAAAGAAAAGTAACATAAGATTCACGTAGTAAGAACACAATGTCTGGAATTATATCCGAACTCTTCGGTTAAGTCCAGTTTGAAAATTCCTACTACAATTTTCGACTTCCTTTTCTTAGTTTGAAGGGTAAACAAGTAATGTAAACCTTGAATGTCGTGCCACAAATGGTCCTGGAAAAAAATCTCTCCATGATATTAAACAGAACCCCCCATTTTGGGGCACACAAAAAAATCGCTCGTTCAGAAATAAAAATGCGGAAAAATCGAAGGAAATAACGCCGTTGTACAGGAATATTGTTGTGTTATTCTTGAGAATCAGATGTCCATACTTAAAAAAAAATCGGGATATTTTGGACCACTCTATTTCTGAATTTACAGTAATATGTGGGAAAAAACCTTGTTTTTTTGCACGACACCTTCCATTTTTGAAATTTTTATAAATGAAGTGTGAAATTCCCTTGAAATATCAGTGGACACCTGAAATAAAATTCAAACTCAAACATAAACGTCAAGAAAAAGCTATTCCCTTTTACTATACAAAACTGCAAATATTTTCTCTTTAGTTATTAAATAAAGTATTAAAGCAGTGCATACTTTTGAGCTCAAGAAAATTTCTTGTGACTTCGTCTCTGATAAAAAATAAAAAAAACTCAAGTGGCCTGAAAATTCTGGAAAACTCATTTTTCCTACAGCAGAAACCCTCAACTGAACCTTCCTCTTATCCACGACCAAATTACGACACTAAATCTATTTTTGAATGTCTATAAAATAATGAAGGAATGTAAATTTGGAATCACTGATCAACGCCAGACGATAGATTCCCTACATTGATTATTCTACAGTAATCGACTGGCAACAATTATGAAAACACTCTCCTCCTACTCGCGAATTGATTGAATTAAAAAAGACGGCAGCAGTTCCAAGGGTTCGCAAGGCTGCTGGTATCGGGTTGCCTCGCTTTGCGAAGGAACCCGAACTCTCACGCGTGCTACTTACACAACACAGCACAGTACAGTAGAGTAAAATAAAGTATTCGTATGGCAGCTGGCAAATACGCATAAAGACCCGCACGCCGTACAATATTGCAAACACAACGGATCAAATCGGGCCGCTCCCAGAGAAAACCCCGAGGAAGCCGTTCAGCAAAAGACCGTGCGAATAACCCAATTTACTCACGAACGTATCCACCGAATGCTCCGGGGATGGCGAATATAGACTCGAGTCCAGGTCCAGATGCAGCATGGGCTCCTCGACGGAGTCCGGAAAAGCGGGTCCCAGGGAGGGATCCAAGCCCGAGGGTTTCGCGAGACCCTCCGCCTCGAGCAACGGCCCGCGGCCCGGGTGCATCGATGCGCAACCCGGCAACGGAGATGGACATCCGCTCTCTTCCAAACGCTTGATAACGTCTTCAAAAATCGCCGATTCGTCTCTCAAGCACTGCGGGTCCAACAAGGCGTCCAAATCAGTCTCTTCTTCGGGCATTCCTATACACAAACAACAACAAAAAACACCTCCTTTGAACCCAGACTCTTGCATGAGCACTTCCGAGTAGGTACGCTCGTCCCGAGAATTCTCGGAGCAAAATTAGGTTCAATTAAATGAATGGGTGTATGCATACATATCAGATGTCCAGTTGTATTTCATGTTGTATTGTATTTTCTTTTATTTTTGTTATCAATTTGTGCTTTCCTGCTCTGAAGTGATAAAATGTCATTGAGTGGATTTGGGGTTGGGTGGGAAGGGGGTTTGGTTCTGGAAATCTTGATTGAACCTTGTGCATGCTGAGAAGCAGCAAATAAAGTGTTCTGTTCATTCATTCATTCACAAAAGAATTGTGCTGGAAGAATAAGGTCTGTCTAGAGCAGTGTTCTCAACCTTTTCTGACCCAAGGACCGACACACTTCCAAAAACGTTCTGCTTGAAATACTTCATGACTGCTGTTCAAAAATTGTATGCTTTTTTGCAAAGTTAAATAAAGAACTAATGAAGCAGCCGTTAGCGGAAGGTCTTTAGAAAATCAAACGGTGGGCTTAAAAATTAAAATAATTTATTTCATCAGCTGAAAATGTGTCTGGAGTGTTATTAGAAGAAAGGCAAACATTCATTCTTGGCAAGATAATTTCAACTGCCACCTTCTTGCCAAAATTCCAGATAAAGATAATTTTGTGGGGCACAGAGGGCACATCCTGGAAACAAACATAATATGCGCGTTTAAAAATAATTAAAAACTTGAATGATTGGAATGTCACAGCAGGGAATTCCTTGGAAGCCCCCACTGCCAAGAATTGCGCAACTCAAAATCACGCCTTTTTTGCAACAATGAATTTATCATTATGTTCCCTGCTTTTGAAGCGTTTGGTTGTGCTTGAAGACTTAGTCTGTGTGTTTTTTGCTGAATCATCAAAATCCCTAGTTTGTACATTACTTGCTTTTGCCCAATTTTCTTACCTGTAAGGGACAGGTGTTGCTAGCCTTCCCCTTGTACCTGAGACACTGGAATTCCAACCTGGAATTCCAGCATTGTCCATCTTCCAGTCTAATTATTCCTTACAGTCTTGCCTTGCCTCGCACCGTGAACATATCGAATGCTTTTGTCAGTGTATTGATTCATTTGAAATATATTCTTCGTCATATTATTGTGGAGTCCTTATCAAAGGGCTCCCTGCTGTGTTCCCCGGTGGATTCCGTGTTTTATTTGCTCATTTTATCAATTATTAGCCTATTCAAATTCTTCTTTGTGGCTAGTGCGCCACATTACCTTTGATCAATTCTTGAAATACAATTTTCTCAACTCTTTTGGGATTCTTACCGAAGTATCCCTTGCCGAGTTCCCCAGCGGCTTGTGTGTTCCGATTATTTTACTTAATTTATAATTCGTAATTTTGCTCTTCGTGGACTCTTGTCCAACTAATGTAACGTGCTTTATTGGTACTTTTGATAAATTTATCATGCTGCAGAAAATTTTCCAAGGACTGGCAAAAAAAAAATTTACTGGACTCTTTCATTTACATTCAATTATAATTTAGTACACGAACTCTAATACAGCAGGTTTCTCTCATGGATCCCCTAGTGGGATAACAAATTTGGCACAGTACTGCAAGTTCAAGGTGGAAATTCGACCAAGATTCCCCGGGAGAAAACTCAACGAAATTTCACGTCGGAGCACACGCTTGCTGGAAGCGAAAAGGAAAAACATTTTCCCTGCCAAAAATCTATCGCTGACACGAAAATCACTCTGAAAATACTGCACCTGTGCCTTTGCCCTCATATTTGTAGACAGCCACACGTGTTACGAAAACAAAGCATTCATGGTACAAGCCTCGGTTTTCCTCAAATCTTTGCGGGACTAATTTTAGCGCGGATGATACCGTCGAACACATTTTTATATCTCCTGGTAATGGAGCTGGAAAACATCACAAAGATGAATAAACAGTAGTTTTCTTACAACTGCCCTAATGAGAAATGGAATGGGGCCGCGAAAAACAAACGAATCGACTTCAGGACACTTGATAACTCGAAAAATCTGCCCAAAATCCAGGCACTGCCTCGAGATACGGACTTCTTTTTTTTTTTACCTAAATTTCCATACAAACGGAAAAAATTGTTCTCACAATTTTATAATATTTGAAAGGAACTGAGCTTTTTACATTCACAACAATCAAATGGAATTTTTTTTTATAGATTCATGATAATTCACGATCCAAAACAGGCTGATGTTTCGCTCCTTTATCTTCAAAGTTCTTTCCACCATCTCAACGGAAATATTTGTGCTTGTTCAAGAAGATTGATGCTTTTGGGATCCTTTTCATGCTGAAAGATCAGACTTGGCGTGGAATTTTTTTCTGCACCATTACTATCCGGTTCTTGAAGTTGAGAAAAAGTACTTTCTTCCATTTTTTGAGGGGCTTTTTCCCAACTTTTGACCGAACAGAGAATCAAATAAATAAACTTTATTCCCATGAAGTCCAAGGGAAAGTGTGATCCGAGATGCGGACACTCTGACATAGGGCCAAGGTTCAAGCACACATTAAATTTGCATCTTGGGGCCCCAACCTGCAGACGCCTCAACATGAGGACAATTTGACATAGGGACATTTATTCTTCAATAAAAAGGGTATAAAAAAGGCCCAACATGAGGACATTGCATGATAAAATTGCTGATCAATTTCACGATAATTGACTTTTGTTTGGTTTGATTGCAAGAAACAGATATTTGCAACCCTAAGATGTATGCAAGAAAAATTCTTCGTCATTTCTCCCATATTTTCCCATTCATTCAGCTAATTAAAAAAAGTACCTATTGCATAGAGGGACTTCCTTCTTTCTTTGTGACTTGAACGTTATTTTTGTAGATGTCAACATTTCAATGTACGGTACAGATATACACTATTCAATGCTCCAAATGTTCTTATTGAGTTGATAATACATTCACTGAATGAAATTCTAGTGGCAAACAATTTTTTCATGGAATTTTGAAGAATCTTTCTTTCATAAAACACCAATCAAAAATTACATAATGTAAGTCTATGGGAAAACAAGACTCGACTTTGGGAAAATTCAACTTAGAGACACTCTTATGCACCACATACACCAATTACGTCCGCAATTGGGGGTCTCACTACTGTTTGTTAGCTCATCTGAATAAAATTAGGGAACAAATGAATACAATCAGCTTGAGGATAAAAATGCAGTACACTCCTGAAGGAAAAAGTCACTCATGGAAGAGGCGGCTACTGCCATCAGCTGATCAAACTGACAGCCATCATGAACACACAAAGATGTCCTCTTTCCAGCTGGGGGTGTGTCTGCCTAGAAACTGCGTCAGGACAGTACACATAGTAGTCCCTGCACGTGTCAGCGATCTAATACAGCACAAAACAGTACTGTACAGTATTCTTACAAACGTTGATGAAATGCATGAACCAAATCCGCAGGTACTGCTTAAATACTATATTTTGGAATACAGTACATTCCCCACAAAGTTTTCAGGATGATTTAATTTTTCCCTCAAAAATTGCCAGCATTGCGAAACATAAAACTGCATCAAAAACGGATGCACATGATCAAAAATTAACAGCACTTCTTCAGAAAGAAATGCTGAATAACTGGTATTCGTTTAAAATGCAATTGGTATCGAGAGCACCGATATAACAGAAGAAAATTTGCACAATTTACATTTCATTCGAATCACAGTATCTGCATTTTGTCACTTCTTGAAATGAATAAATTCTCACGCCAAGGCAAAAACGTTCGTATCTCAAGCATTAGTAAAATAATCTTTCCAGAATTCCATAGAAAATCGGGCAACGCATAGCCGAAGAATTTTTGACTAGTTTTTAGGCAATTCAGGCTACAACACAAAAATTAACGTGAAATTTTCGCCTTGGAAAAGCAATAGGAACACATTCTGATCGAAACGCATCCAATAAAATATAACCTAATCATAGTTTCTGTTCCATCAACTAATCATAGAAGGGAACCCTTCATCAACCGAAGTATCGATCTTTTCAGGTCACTGAAGTGCTTTGACACGCCTCAGTTTTCAAAATTTCAAATGAATCCAACACTCATCTCAACGAAAGGATCATATTTTAAGCTAGAAAGTCCTGACAACATTGAAACAGAAAAATTAAATAATTGAGAATTCCTCTCTCAAACTTCTTTGAAACTTGCGTTACTCGTAAATAGTCGCTTCACGTCCGAAAGAAAGAAATTGATTCACTCACTAAAAGACCCACAAAAACAACAGAAACATTATTTCATGCGGTTGGGACAAGAAAAAAAATTTTCAACGCGGCAAGATGGGACAATGCGGAAGAAGGTAAAATATCTCGGCATCAATTTTTTGGCACGTGAAAGAAAAAATATTTTGGCTCATCTTCACCGCAGATCCCACAGAGATTCCTTCGCAACGCATCCCAGGAAAATTGGCTAAATATTCGGGAATACTCATTAACGTTCGAGAACGGGATAATAGGCGGAAAATCCTGGCATTGTGCTCAGGAGAATTTGTTATTGGCGCTACGTTGCACACAGCAGATGTGTCCTATTCCCGTTGCATCGTATTGAGCGTTTGCGAAGAATAGGAATGTTTCGAAGTAACTGGCGTGTGATGATATTGCCTCAAAATGTTAGGTTACATTTTCTTTTGTTGTAGCTCAAATCAAAAGAAAATAATCACACTTTCCTTGCGCCAGCCCCAAACCATGAAACACCCGAGTCAACTGTAAGGCACAGATGTCGCAACCCCCTCCCTTGCAACACACCTGAAAAACCTCCAACGGGGAATTCCCCGATTGCACAATTGACCCCCCTCCTCCATTTTCGAGCCCAGTATTCTCTCAGTCCCGATTTTCCTCGCGAATTGTCGACATCACTTCCCTGTTAGTTCGTCAGTGCATTTATTCTTTGCTATTTTCGAAATACATTTGTTCTTTACTCTTTGGAGTCCTTACCAAAGGGCTCCCTGCCGTGTTCCCCGGCGGACCAAGTGTTTCATTCATCAAAATTCATAATTTAATCTTGTTTTCATTTTTATTTGTGGCCTGTGCGCCACATCAAACTTCCTTGTCCCAACCCCAAAGCGTCTCCCGTTGAAGCGATGATTACATTAGCCCCTTGTCCATATAAAATCAACTTCAACCTTTTGTTTGCAGAATAGACACTTATTTTTCTCCTAATTGCAGTGAGACCCTGAGATGCGGACATAATTGGTGCATCAAGAGTGTCCCGAAGTCAAAATGTCCCCAAGTTGAGTCTCATTTTCTCTTAGACATACATTAAAAAATTTTTAAATGGTGTTTTATGTGCGAAGTACTCACCATAATTCCATGAAAATAAAAATTGCCTTCCAATTTAAGCTGATTCCTATCAATATATCTCAACACAATCTTCACATGTGGGGAATTGAATTCTGATACCTCTGTAGAGTACATAGAAATGTTGGCACTCTCTATTAAAATAACATTCAAGTGAAAAGGAGAGAAGGAAGTCCCACTATGCTGGAGGTATTTTTTTTTAAATTAGCTAAATGGATGGTAAACTGGTCAGAAAATGCCCAAGAACTTTTCTTACATCAATTTTAGGGTTGGAAATATCTGTTACTCGAAATTTGGCCAGAAATGCATTTGCAATTTCATCACAAAATGTCTGGATGTCAGGCCTTTTTCATTATTTTTTTATGGGAAAATAAGTGTCTCCATGTCAAATTGTCCGCATGTGGGGGCCTCACTGTATCTTCAGAAATTATTAGAACGTAAATGGATGGATTAAGGAGAATAAGATAAAGCGGTGACCGTTTCATTCCCTGGATTCACTGAGGTTTCGTAAAACCTTCATGGTTGAGCAGCATAATTTCTCGGTGCTGCGAGTTCATGACGCAATCCGAATTTAAAATAATTGCATCATTTTATTCGAAGGAAGATATCATTTGATCCCGGGGATCCTTGAACTTTACTGGAACCAAGGTTTTTTTTTAAACTTTTTCAGATCACATTTTATCTCGAAATGTTTCATCATGAAAATTTGCCGCTTCTTCAAAGTGATCATTCATTTTCCGCAAATCTTCTGTTGTGTCCTATTCCTACCATAGTGAAATTATGTTGTGCAATGAAACTCAGGAAACTCACGACTCATTAAGTTTGGCGAATGATCCTACAACAAAATGCATTGTAAATCAAATTCATACAGGGAGATGGCTTATTTTTAATTATTTACAGGAATACCGTATCCTCATTTTCGGATTGAGCTTCGATACGAAATTTATGGTTGTTGTTTAATTTAGATTGGTGCACTTTCCAGGGATTCGTGGAGAGAAAATCCCACCGGGATCTGCTAAGGAAAAACCCCCGAAAAGGTTAACTCACTCATCCCCCATGTGAAAAAAAGCTGCTGCCCATATGATGCCAGGCTTTGTTCCTCATCTTATGGATAAATTTCAGAACTTCGGCATCCAAAAATGCTACAACGAAAACATTTCCAGGGGGCCCTAGTAGCGAGTGAATGGACAATGGACTGCAAACTGAGTTAGAGCAACCATTTGCTCGCGTTCAATGACGTGGAAAGCAAGACGATCATTACTTTTTCCTGAGCTCAACTCGAAAAAAAAGGCACAAAGTTCGTGGGACTTGGAGTACATGTGCAGAACAATTCAACGTTGATTCAGCCATACACTCATACAGAAGTCTTCACTTATTTGCAGAACACACTGCGGTTCTCTGCAATTCCTAAGGCCGCAGCTAGAAAGTTTCACCCTCCAGGAAAATCTTTTCCCGTTCGTTCCTGATGAACGTACCGAGTTGGAAGCAAAAGAGTGACATTACGGGAAAGTCTTCCGCCACCCGAAAAAACAACAGCACCAAAAGAACGTCAAGGTACTCGTGGTACAATGAGGGCCCCGAGATGCGGACGTAATTGGTGATTGGACCATGTCCGAATGTCGGGACATCCGCGAGTGGGATCACGCTTTTCCTTAGATTTAAATGCGAATAAATTTGATTGGTTCTCCTGTGCGTCAAAAACTAGGAAAACGTCCCAAAACATTGACACACTTATTTGTCAACTCAAGGATGCAGAAAATAACTGCAGAAGAAAACCACACAGATTCTTATTTTTTTACATAAACTAACGGGCCCTAAAAGCGATGACCATCCACAACTCTTGCTGTCCACAGATGAGAAAAAACATTTTTAAAAAGAGGCAGAGAATTAGCCTATATTGCATTATGAATAAAAATGAATTTATATGAACTTTTTTAGAAAATAAATATAATCAAACCCCAGTCAAACGTCATCCGTCAAAATTATTGACAACTCAAATATGCTCTTGCCAATTAATTTGGTCTTCAATAGCCCGCGAACAAGTTTCAAGTTTATGTAAGAGGTCTCCAAGAAAAACAAACAAACAAACACAAAAATGACTTAATTCACTTCTAGATATAATTTATCCATCCCTGCTTTCCAGAAGAATAGGAATGTCATTTTATACCATGCTTCATTCTCATATTTTAGCTTTTCTGATGAAACACCAAGCTCTCTTCAAACTTCCAACTTTGTTGAACAATAAGCAAACCTCGCAAACAAATAAGCTTCAAGGTTTCCATGTAGCTCAATTTGCGCAAGATAATTCTGAATTTTAAACACATGAACTCATTTGCGTCTTTCCAGAAATCTTCCATATCTCGAGACATTCTTTGAATTTTGGTGAATATTTTCGAGTTCAAATTGTCACGAAGACAATCTCGAATTTACTAGCTAGCTGATCCAGTTAATTCTGAGTTGCAGAAAACTACATGCTGGAAGCCCAGAAAGGGCTAGAAGATTCTCAAATTGTATTAGAGCATTCAAACCTGGGTTTGCTGGATGTTTTCCTTTAATTTTTAGACAGGAAAGGAAAGGGAAAAGAGTCTTGTTTTAGTGCATGGTTTGCTCACCCCTGGATGCCAACCTCCAGGCAGCAGGGACCTAGTTTTGTGACTGGTTTTCTCAAGATTGCCAGGTTTTAATTTCTGGATGATTTTCAGTTTCTGAGTATAAAAAGAGTGAATTTTGTGTGGAAAGCATCAGACCATTTTAAGCTGTGAAATCTCTCCCAAGGTTCTCTCCCATCTTGGGGATTTTTGTGAAATAAACTGTTGTCAGTAGAGAACTTGCCTAAATTCTTCTTCAAACGTCGGCTTCATTTAAAGCCCAATGTCAAATTTCTGTCTGAAATAAGCACAGTATGAAAAATCTGTGATCAAGAATTATTATGAGCAGCTTACACTGGCTCCTGCTCTCTGTGTTTCTCATGTGCCCCAAACTTCTTTCTTATCCCTTCTTTCCCAGTCCCAGCTAGGAAACAAATCATGCATAGAATAAGTGCATGATGGAAAACGTCATGTCTGTCTGCCTCAAAAGCCAGTGAGCAGAGAAGCCCACTGTTCTCTGGATTATGTGTGTGTGTTTATCCTTTTTTATTTTAACTGGCCAGCCAGCAAGTCAAGCAACCTGCTGGCTGACCACTGCATCTCTTTAAACCTGCTTGAAATCTTGTCTTCCCCAGCATTTGTGTCTGGACTGTGCTGCTGAACTGACCTGTGCCGAATAAAACTGTCATTGCCTCTCAACATGCAATCTTGGCAATTTATTTACAAGACTGCTAAAAATCATTTGGCCTGCAAAGTACGCAGAAAACCTCTCAAGTCCAAGATTTAATTCAGTTATCCAAAAACTGAGGTTGATAACAATTTTTCTATTAGACATAATACAGTCAAACCCCGTTAAACTGCCAATGTTTGTGCAGCAGACTTTTGGCAGTTTAACAAAGGAGGGGTTGCCACAGTATTTAATGAATAAGTGTATTTGATATTTTTTTTAATGTTTCAACCTCTATCCCTCCCCATCCTGCTTTTGGTGAAGATGACTCTTCATTCCTTTTTTGTGGGGACATAAATTTCTCATTCTTTGCATCTTTAAATTGAGAAAACAAATAATTTAAAATATATTACCAGAGATTTGAAGAGAGGATCCAAAAATTTGTGGTTTATTGGGGTAAAAAACAGTGCCAAGATCCTGTTTGTTTGGCAACAAAAAAACATTGGCGGTTGGCGGATAAATGGGGTTTTCCTATCCCTTCAAGCTTGAGAAGATTTGTTTGGGAGGAAAAAAATGGCGGGAAGCGAGGGTGGCGGTTTAACGGGGTTCAACTGTAGTATGCCTTCGTTTAAAACTCACTGGTTTTCATTTCCACATCCAATAAATAGGATAACAGAAATCAAACTACAGTTTACCCTTCTGATCCAGAGAGCTGAAGGCCTCCAGGACATCCGGCAGCTCCTTGGGCGACACGAAGACGAGAGTGGCCCCGTAGCGCTCGTGCTGGAAGACGACCGGGTAGCACGGGGACTTGGTCAAAAAGTGGAAGCCCTGCACGTCCCGCCGGAAGCTGTCGTCGATGACCTCTGGAACACTGAATCGATGCCGGAGGAACTTGGACGGCGGGTCGGCCAGGTCAGTCGGGTGGCTCGCAACGACAGGCACCGCCGGGGTCGGGTCCAAATCAAGCGGGAAATCGGGCGGCTCGTCCTTCGTTCCGTCGTCAGCGTCTTCGTCAACGACGTCGTCGTCGTCGTCTTCGTGGTGGTGTTGGTGGTGATGGTGGTGCAACGCGACCGATTCCCTCTGCGCCCCACCGCTCCATTCCAGCTGGTGCACAGAAATTACTTCCTCGGCATGTTCCAGCCCGCTGCGGAGAAACACGGAGATTTCCCCGTCAGCACCGAACAACGGAGCGAATGGAAAGGAAGACCAACACAACAGCATCTTCCCCTATACCCGTTGCCAAAAAAAAATCTGCCTCGACATGGACCCAACCGATGGGTGCATTGCTGGGATCAGCATTCTCGCACCCACCCCCCAGTGGCACAGGCATTCTCCAGGAATTCCCTCGCGAATCGAACGCCTTCATCCGACGTCAGAAGAAAATTAAATGAAGGAAGCGTCGGAGAATGTAAAAAAAAAATCGCAACCAAACTCTGAAGCGTGATCAAGCCCTCGGAAAACTATGTCGAACTTTTTTCCAGAAATTATTTCCATCAGTGAAATTTGAGCGTAACAGTTTCCCAGCGTCGGACAATGAAAAAGTTTCGTTATGCTCACTCAGTCTACAAACGTAAAATAATTGAATAAACTTTATCACACTGACAAAAATTCACAATTCAGACGATACACTTTCTGACCAACGATTGTCACAACGTACGGTTCCAGGAAATTTAACGACTGTTCTTCTGTCGCATTGTATCAATTTCATGCACATAAAAAAAAAAAAAACCAATTTGCTCTTTGCTCCGGATCAAGAAGATGAAAATTTAGCGCACAACCCAGATGGCTTCAACATGATGGTTTCTATGGATTGCCACGATGATCCAGAAACATCGACAAACACAAGTGTTTTCTAAAGCTTTTCAAGCAATATTTTCCAAGAATATAGTTGATATTCTATACCCCCCCCCCCCCTGAGTCAAATTTAAAGGGACTTTTAAAATTGACTCGGAGAGTTTTTCAGTAAGGAAAGGTGGGAGACAGGTATTGTACTCTCAAATTAAGGGAAGAATTCATGTAATGTGATTTGTTCTGCAATTTCTCCATTGTATAAATTTGTCAATGTAAAAGGGAAATTCCAAGAAGATTATTATTGAGGACAAATGTCATCAATATAACTTGATGTGGAGTGTTGTTGATTAAATGATAATAAAACACGTTAATCAGTCTGGGACAGGACCAGGAATTCCTTTTATGAATTCCTAGTTTAAAGGGAGAAGTGTATCTCACAAAGTATAACTGAATAAAACAGCTCAACAAACTCAACTTGCAAGAATAACTTGGATAACTTGAGTAACACAGCTGAACTGACAAATTGATTCTTCTGATGATATGGAAAGGAGCAGCTTATATACTACTAATTATATTTAACCTTCAAAAGGTTTTACTTCAAAAATCAGTAAGAAATATATGCGATTTTGAGAAGGGGGAAATACTTTTTACTTCTAGGAATTGTTCAGAGTACATTACTTTACATGTCGTGCATGCCCAACAATTATAATTTCCCCATATCACAATGTTCCTCTTTTTTTACTGGAAGAATCCTCGAAATTATTCTCACTGAAGTGCCTTGGCCTCTTGCTTTGATAGGTGATTGTGGGCTTCATTTTTCTCGTGATAAAGTCAAGTTATCCTGTATTTTGAATCTTGCTCCCTTAAAATGTATCCTTCAGGGAAATGAAACAATGTTCGTCCTTGAATCTCCTCCCAAGGAGATTCCTGGCACGTTCCTTGGCAGATTGTGTTTCAATTCATTCTTCTTTTAGTTCCAAATCCTCTGACACGTTTTTAGACTTGTGGGCTACAGAGAAATATGGCTTCATTTGGATAATTTAATCAATGGAGATTATTTGCTGGCCGAATTATTAAGATTGTTCCTAGAAGCATTCCAAATCTCTCGTGGAGAGCATGCATAAAATAATTTGCATCTGCTGTTCTGGTTTTTTGGAACAAGTGTTGAAAAATGTAGCCCCAATTTAATTTTTAAAAAAAGGCCTGAAAATGCAACTAGGGAAGTTTTAACCAAACAATTTTCAATGCAGGACGGTTTCAATTTCATTTGACTTGAGGGAATTGGCCAGGGATTAACTGAAAGTTAAAATCAGGGATGAGGTGAGGTCCAACTGCATCCAAATTCGACTTGGTTGAATAGATTTCGAACGAAAGCGGCAAAAACAAAAAAAATCGCCATTCCTTGAAAATTCCCTGGTGATGTTCCCGGCTTGAATTTTCTCCCACTTACAATTTCTTCCTCATTTTCTCGATTATTATTTTTTTCTTCGCGTAATGCCAGCTGCTCCAGCGGACACGACATTTTTTTTTTTAAAGATCCCCCCTCAACTGTCGTCGACAACCGAACGCAAAAACGACGCGCGTCATTCTTTATCTCGTGTTCCGCGACTGTCTACTTTCCCGCAAGACGCAATCTGCCCGCGCCGGGTCGGAAGAGAGCAAAAACGTGCGACGAGTGCAGATCGCGAGCCAGGCCGTCGACAGCATTTTCATTCCGTCGTCGTCGTCGTCGTCGTGGCCAGGGACACGACGACGATGAATGAATGAATGATAGGCAAGTGAACACCTCGGGCTTCTTCTTCGCTCCCCCCTCGCCACCTTCTTCCTGCTTTCGCAGCAAGTGAACGCTAAGTGGGTCGGGGAACAGCTCATTAAATGACAATCCCTGCCGCGAATACCGTACCCTCCGAATTTCACGAGTCGGTCTCTCGAACCCTGCCAGGGCAGGTGCCGGTGACAGGCCACACAGATGCTTATGCGTCAGCAATCGTAAATCCGATTATAGAGCACACGAGGAACCCGACGAAATATGCTTGCAAGTGCAGATCGAAACCTGAACCGGTCAACGCAAGAAACACTGTTGCAAGCACAGTACCCGAAGAAACTCGGATTTCCAACCAGGAATACAGTCAACCCTAGATTTAGTGCCATCAGTAATCCTGGCAAATTTCGAGGCACTAAAGCGCGACTATTGTACGAGATGAAGGCACAGTTGGGAGCTTTACTGCAGGCAAAATGAGGCTTCAGGGGATCAAATGCACTGTTTCTATGAAGTGTTTCAATTTATTTAATAGCCCAGAAAATACAGTGAGACACCCACAAGCGGACACCTCGACCTGCGGACAATTCAACATAGGGACACTTCTTTCTTCATAAAAAATTAATAAAAAAGGCCCGACATGAGGACACTGACTCAACATAGGGACATTTTGTGATAACTTTTCAAATACGTTTCAGGCCAAATTACAAGAAACAGATATTTCAAACCCTAAAATTGATGTAAGAAAAGTTCTTGGGCATTCCTCTCACCAGTTTACCATCCATTTAGCTAATTTAGAAAAATTACCTCCAGCATAGAGGGACTTCCTTCTCTCTTTTTCACTTGAATGTTATTTTTGCAGAGAATGCCAACATTTCTATGCACGGTATAGACGTATCAGTGTTCAATTCCCCAAATACCCAGATTGTGTTGAAATACATTGATTGGAATCAGTTTAAATTGGGAGGCAGTTTTTATTTTCATGGAATTATGGTGAGTATTTCATCCATAAAACACCAATTAAGAATTATATAATGTACGTCTAAGGGAAAATGATACTAAACTTGGGGACATTTTGACTTAGGGACACTCTTGATGCACCAATTACGTCCACATGTCAGGGTCTCATTTTAATATGCTTTGCTTGAATTGCGTGTCAAGTAAAAGAGCAGACCTGCTTCTTTGAGTTTTGCATTGACCTTTTCATGAAAGCACTCAAATTTAAGACACGTTAACATTTTTATTTTTTCAAGTGGCTAACCCACTCATTGAAATGCTCTTCACTGTGGAGAACATCTACATAATGCCACCCAATGACACTTCAATTCAGGAAAATACTTTCCAAAATGATCCTGCGCGTAGACGAATATGCTTCTCATCAGTAATTAACTATTGATATCCGTAGAAAAATGCAATAATTTCTTCGTTTTTAGCTTATTTTTCATTCGGGTACCATTTTTTTACGGCACGAAGTGTAATCTCGGTTTTCTTCAGGAACACAATCCAGGACGACTTGTTCCACGGGAATTTGTGGCCCTAAACAAGGGTTGTGGCACTAAATCCAAGTACAGTATATTTCGGGGAATTTACGCAGAACTGCTCATTTTAACATAGTAAAACCCTTGAAGGAACACGCGGACGAAGAACCACTTCATCGCAGGACTAGAAAAACTCGCTCGAAATCGACCCCAAAGAATGCATGTCCACGACAAGAGCGATTCTTGAGATGACAGGTAAAATTTTTCCATCTGCAAAAGACGCTTTTGAACTGTGCATCCTCGACAGCAAAAAAAAAATCTTATTTTGGACTAGCAGGATTTTTTCCCCCCAACACCTCTCCCCAAATTTGAATGGAGATGCTCAATTTTTCAGCGAAAATAAAAAGTTGAAGTTTCCCATTGTACTTCAAAGTACCCAGGACAACATCCTTGAACTTGTCATTCTCCGTTCACATGCGAATGACGGAGAAAAATGAGTAGATGGGGAATTTCGAGAATATAGAACGTACGTCCGTATCGACGGGTAATGGATTGGAATCTCCGGCCAAGTGATTCATCAATCTCAGCTTGAACGAGGGAGAAAATATTACATTATTTCGAGTAGATAATACGAGGAAGGTTGACGCTGTTCATTAACTGTTACGCCCTATTACACACATTCTTCTTCCATGGCAGGTGGGTGTCGGAGAAACTGAATTTTGCAAGGATGGAAACTTCACAACACAGCTTATCTATTAAATCAGCAGAACTAGGCTGATGATGTCGAATGCCAAGAAAATTATATACTGTATGATTTAAGCATTCATAGCTCCAATTTCATTCAATTCCAAGAAGAACAATCGCCCTAATATCATTTGAATGACCCCCAAAACCATCCCAAGGAAAACAATAAAATAATTGAAGGCACTTCAAAAAGTTGACCAAGACATCATCAACAATGATGTTACAAATAGCATTTTAGTACATGCAGAATTTTGCCCCTGTGCAAAATTCCTTAAAACCGATTGTGGTGCAATATTCTCACCAGCACCTTTTGTGGTGCTCCCTTCCTGAAATCAGCTCATGCATCTATCGTAAACTTCAGTCAACCACAAATTTTTGCTGTCTGCCCATGTGTTA